CAGAAGCTGCAGCGGCGGCATCCTCCTGACGAGCCTTCTCGATCTGGGCGATGGCGTGCGGGGGGAGGGGAGGGGGAGTGGGCAGAAGGTCGGACTCCACGCGGAAACCGTTTTCATCAGCAACGAAGCTGAAGTCAGCTGGAGTGCCATCAGGGAAGGTGAATCTGAAATGAGGAAACAAATTGAATTTCCGTCTAAAGAAAAGAATATGGTTTAGTCATGATCTTACCAAATGCAACTGTTATACTTACGACCAAGCACCCTGCTGTGCTACGGCTCCAGTTTCTCCTTGTGGGGCTCCTTGTTCCTCACGAATGATGCCGTTTGCAGTTTCGAAGTTAAAGTTGTAGTTTCCGAACTCATCGGGACCTTGGCGTTCGTCGGTAATGATGGGAATGAAAGGACCTGAAGCTCCAGCTCCAGAACCACCAGCACCGAAGCTTCCCGAGGAACCTCCAAATCCTCCGGTGGCTCCACTGCCGAAGCTGCCACTACCGGAACCAGGAGCTCCACCTCCGAATCCTCCACTGCTTGAACCAGGAGCTCCACCTCCGAATCCTCCACTGCTTGAACCAGGAGCTCCACCTCCGAATCCTCCACTGCCTCCAGCTCCACTTCCAGGTCCACCTACTCCACCGAAACTGCCGAATGAACTTCCACTGGGAAGTCCATAGGATCTAGACGGTGATCCTTGAGGCAGTGATGCCACAGCGGCCACCACAGCGCATATCACGAGTTTCTGAAGATGGGAAGGAGAAAATTATTACTGATTTCAAATATATTTACCTGTCTTTCTCTGAGTCTGCATAACAATACATATATACTTGTATTAATAAAAAAGAAAAACGTAAATATATCTACATGTATATATATTCACATATATAAATATATAAATATATATGTATGTGTGTATGTGTTTATTTTATATATTCAGACACGTACGCAGACATATGTATGTATATATCTATTTACATTTATATATATATATACATACACATCATTTATGCACGTTGCTGTGTGTATATTTTTCAAAAAGTTTGAACTTTACCGCAAACATGGTTATCCGATGAAGCGGTCGGGCTGACTGATGCTCATGCTGGAACCAGACTCTTATATACTCAGACACTGGCATTTCTCTCCCATTCCCAGGACATGCATTCGGACACACGCACGTACACACGATGGATAATGTCATACTGGCCCAGATGAGATTCTCTCGATTAGTTCATCAATACACAAGGTATTTTTTCATTGTTGTGTTTTCCTGGTTGTCACGATTACTTTCTAAATATCCTTTACTCTCTGAACTTCTCCCTATCGAACATTTCATTCAATCCGATCTCTGTCTCTCTCCCCTACGTTTTCCCCTTTTCTCTCTCTCTCACATTTTTCTCCCTCTTTAGCATTCCACTCGATCCCATCTCTCTGTCTCGTCTCCCCCCTTGTCTTTTTCCCTCTCCGGTTCCATCCCGTTATCTCTAACGTAATCACTTTCCCTCACTTTCCTTTTTCCCTCTTTTTTTTGTTTGTTTGTTTCTTTCCTTACACTCAATCACTCCCTCCCCCCTTCTTTCTCTCTCAACCCCTTTCCCTCTCTTTCCTTTTCTCTAAGTTTCTGTCTCTCTATCGATATCTTACCCTTCTTTTTCTTCTTTTTCTCACCTTTTTTTCTTACCCCTCTCTCTATATATATTACTCTCTATGTCCAATCTTACTTAAAGAAAAATTGGCAACTCGCCCTGGAGTCTAAACCTCTTTGGAGAAAAGAAAAAAATAAGATCAAGGGGTCGAAAGCAATAATAAAAAAAATATCATTCCTGGCATGCATAAACATAATGATTAGATATTAGCTGATTAGAATCAACAAAATGAGAAGAAAAAAAAGGCGACTCAGAATGCTCCAGGGTGCGGGTTGAGTTGCAAAGTTTTATTTTTCTGAGACAGGAAACACTATCGTCAAGACTCGAAGACGCCTCTGCGTCTCCTTCAGCCACCACTGAAGGCAACTCTTACCTCAATGAGTGGGCTGATTGATATGTCATTATTTCGCATTCTTTGGTCGAAAATGTTCATTCTGCCTGAAAGGGGGAGCCAGAAGACTGTAACCCACGCCCACCAGAAACATCAGCGGCATTATCGTCTCATTGAAAATGAAGACTAATATATTAAACTCATCTTTACAAGCATCCCACATAATACATTTACATATATTCTCTCTCTATATATATGTATATCTATGTATACATACACACACACACACACATATATATATATAGATGACAAGATTTCGCGAGATTGATTTTGAATTTCGTATTCGATAGATAAGAGTAACTACTATATTTGTGAGTATATATATATACACACCCGCGTATGCGTAAATATATACCACTCATATGTATGCATATATACACACATATAAGTGGCACACACACAGATGTATATATATATAAATAATATAAACCCACACATATGTATGAGTGTGTTTGGAAACATGGATACATTATCATTATTATTATTATTATTATTATGGTTAGCCGTAAAAAGAACTATACTGAAAAATAACGAGAATTATACCACCAAAAGTGTCAGAGCAGGTCAAAACACAGTTAAGAAAATATGATAAAATGGAAAATCGTCACCTATTTATGTAGTAAAACATATTAGTCGGATAAGTTACAATCTTTAAAAGCAATCTTTTCCAAAGCCTACAAATAGCAGTAAATATACATAAGTATATATGTATATAGATATATACATATATACATACACATAATATATATATTATCAGTGTTGATTATTAGCTATTATTATCCTTTTTAAGGATCCAACATATCCAAAACTGGCGGATTTGTCTGGTTCCCTCATTTTGTCTTTGTATGGGCGTGTGCATAAGAACATACATTTGAAAATGTCTCATTGGTCTTCATAATTATTTCGCCCCATCGATTATTAGTCATAATTTCGATCAATAAAAAGGGTGTAGATAAACAGTATAATATATGAATACATATTTAATGTAAACATGCATCTTCACTAGTAAGCGTCATTGTTACATCTCCAATATTGAAGGCTGAAAAATATTACGATATCGATGGGTCACAAGCGGCAGCAGATATTAAGTCGCATAATGGTTCACTTATGGGTAACCATATGCGGTGCTGGGTCCTTGTTGGGAGGAAGATGAACCTGAGAACTGGCCACTAGAAGACCCAAATCCTGGTTGGCCGGCACCGGTTCCAAAACCTGACTGGCCAGATCCCGAGAATTGTCCTGAACCAAAGCCTGATTGGCCGGCGCCAAAGCCTGAGCCAGAGAACTGTCCAGAGCCAGAGCCTGGCCGGCCACCAGAAGCTGCAGCGGCGGCATCCTCCTGACGAGCCTTCTCGATCTGGGCGATGGCGTGCGGGGGGAGGGGAGGGGGAGTGGGCAGAAGGTCGGACTCCACGCGGAAACCGTTTTCATCAGCAACGAAGCTGAAGTCAGCTGGAGTGCCATCAGGGAAGGTGAATCTGAAATGAGGAAACAGATTGCATTTCCGTCTAAAGAAAAGAATATGGTTTGGACATGATCTTACCAAATGCTACTGTTATACTTACGACCAAGCACCCTGCTGTGCTACGGCTCCAGTTTCTCCTTGTGGAGCTCCTTGTTCCTCACGAATGATGCCGTTTGCAGTTTCAAAGTTGAAGTTGTAGTTTCCGAACTCATCGGGACCTTGGCGTTCGTCGGTAATGATGGGAATGAAAGGACCTGAAGCTCCAGCTCCAGAACCACCAGCACCGAATCCTCCCGAGGAACCTCCGAATCCTCCGGTGGCTCCACTGCCGAAGCCGCCACTACTGGAACCAGGAGCTCCACCCCCAAATCCTCCCGTTGCTCCACCTCCGAATCCTCCACTGCCTGACCCAGGAGCTCCACCTCCGAATCCTCCACTGCCTGACCCAGGAGCTCCACCTCCGAATCCTCCACTGCCTCCAGCTCCACTTCCAGGTCCACCTCCTACTCCACCGAAGCCGCCGGATGAACCTCCACCGGGAAGTCCATAGGATCTAGACGGTGATCCTTGAGGTAGTGATGTCACAGCGGCCACCACAGCGCATATCACGAGTTTCTGAAGATGGGAAGGAAAAAATTACATATTTCAAATATATTCACCTAACTTTCTTTGTGTGAGCGTGTTTAATAATACATATATGCTTGTATTAATAATAATAAAAAAGTTTATAAATATATCTACATGTACATTTATTCACACATAGAAATATATAATATGTGTGTATGTCTATACACATATACACACACATATATACTTTATATATATATGTGCGTGTTTGTGTGTGTGCGTGCATGTGTGTTTGTTTTATATATACAGACACGCACGCACACATGTATGTATAAATATATATGTATATGTATATATGAATACATTTATTTATTCATATTTATATATACACATCATTTATGCATGTTGCTGTGTGTATATTTTCTTTCAAAAAGTTTGAACTTTACCGCAAACATGGTTATCCGATGAAGCGGTCGGGCTGACTGATGCTCATGCTGGAACCAGACTCTTATATACTCAGACACTGGCATTTCTCTCCCATTCCCGGGACATGCATTCGAACACACGCACGTACACACGATGGATAATGTCATACTGGCCCAGATGAGATTCTCCCGATTAGTTCATCAATACACAAGGTCTTCATACTCTGTTGTGTTCTCCTGGTTGTCACGATTACTTTCTAAATATCCTTTACTCTCTGAACTTGATTTGTTCCCAAAATAATTCCATTTCACAACGTCCCATCTGTCTCTCTCTTTCGGTCTCCACCTTTGTCTCTCTCTCTTCCCTTCTCCCTATCGAACATTTAATTCAGTCCGATCTGTCTCTCACCCCTACGTTTTCCTCTTTTCTCTCTCTCACTCTCACAATTTTTTCCCTATTTAGCATTTCACTCGATCCCATCTCTCTGTCTCCGCCCCCTATCTCTTTTTCCTTCTCTTCCCGGTTCCATCCCGTAATCTCTAACGTAATCACTTTCCCTCACTCCTCTTTTTTTGTTTCTTTCCTTTTTCACACTCAACCACTCTCTCCCCCCATCTTTCTCTCTCAAACCCCTTCCCTCTCTTTCCTTCTAAGTTTCTATCTCTCTTTCGATCTCTTACCCTAACTCTTTCTTCTTTTTCGCCCCCTTTTTTCTTACCCTTCTCTCTATATATATTACTGTCTGTCCAATCTTACTTAAAGAAAAATTGGCAACTCGCCCTGGAGTCTAAACCTCTTTGGAGAAAAGAAAAAAATAAGATCAAGTGGTCGAAAGAAAAAAAATATATATATATCATTCCTGACATGCATAAACATAATTATTAAATGTTAGCTGATTAGAATCAACAAAAGGAGAAGAAATAAAGGCGACTCAGAATGCTCCAGGGTCCGGGTTGAGTTGCAAAGTTTTCTTTTTCTGAGACAGGAAACACTATCGTCAAGACTCGAAGACGCCTCTGCGTCTCCTTCAGCCACCACTGAAGGCAACTCTTACCTCAATGAGTGGGCTGATGATATGTCATTATTTCGCATTCTTTGGTCGAAAATGTTCATTCTGCCTGAAAGGGGGAGCCAGAAGACTGTAACCCACGCCCACCAGAAACATCAGCGGCCCTATTTCTTTTTCTGAGACAGGAAACACTATCGTCAAGACTCGAAGACGCCTCTGCGTCTCCTTCAGCCACCACTGAAGGCAACTCTTACCTCAATGAGTGGGCTGATTGATATGTCATTATTTCGCATTCTTTGGTCGAAAATGTTCATTCTGCCTGAAAGGGGGAGCCAGAAGACTGTAACCCACGCCCACCAGAAACATCAGCGGCATTATCGTCTTATTGAAAGTGAAAACTAATATGTTAAACTCATCTTTACAAGCATCCACATAATTATTAAATGTTAGCTGATTAGAATCAACAAAAGGAGAAGAAATAAAGGCGACTCAGAATGCTCCAGGGTCCGGGTTGAGTTGCAAAGTTTTCTTTTTCTGAGACAGGAAACACTATCGTCAAGACTCGAAGACGCCTCTGCGTCTCCTTCAGCCACCACTGAAGGCAACTCTTACCTCAATGAGTGGGCTGATTGATATGTCATTATTTCGCATTCTTTGGTCGAAAATGTTCATTCTGCCTGAAAGGGGGAGCCAGAAGACTGTAACCCACGCCCACCAGAAACATCAGCGGCATTATCGTCTTATTGAAAGTGAAAACTAATATGTTAAACTCATCTTTACAAGCATCCCACATAATACATTTACATACATTCTCTCTCTATATATATATGTATATATCTGTGTGTGCGTGTGTATATATACATATATATATATATATATATATATATATATATATATATATATATATTACAAGATATCGCGAGATTGATTTTGAAAATTCGTATTCAATAGATAAAAGTAACTACTATATTTGTGAGTATATATATACACACACCCGTGTATGCGTAAATATATACCACTCATATGTATGTATATATACACACATATGAGTGGCACACATATATATATATCTAAATAAATATATACACGCATACACATGTATGAATGTGTGTTTGGAAACATGGATACATTATTATCATTATTATTATTATAGTTAGCCGTAAAAAGAGCTATACTGAAAAAAAAAAACGATAATTATACCACCAAAAGTGTCAGTGTAGGTCAAAACACAGCTAAAAAAGTCTGATAAAATGAAAAATCATCATCTATTTATTAGCTGATCTTTTAAATTGATCTAGGGTCGGATAAGTTATAATCTCTGAAAGCAATCTTTTCCAAAGCCTACAAATAGTAGTAAATATACATATGTATATATGTGTATAGATATACACATATACATATAAATAGTATATATTATCATTGTTGATTATTAGCTATTATTATCCTTTTTAAGGATCCAACATATCCAAAACTGGCGGATTCGTCTGGTTCCCTCATTTTGTCTTTGTATGGGCGTGTGCATAAGAACATACATTTGAAAATGTCTCATTGGTCTTCATAATTATTTCGCCCCATCGACTATTAGTCATAATTTCGATCAATAAAAAGGGTGTAGATAAACAGTATAATATATGAATACATATTTAATGTAAACATGCATCTTCACTAGTAAGCGTCATTGTTACATCTCCAATATTGAAGGCTGAAAAATATTACGATATCGATGGGTCACAAGCGGCAGCAGATATTAGGTTGCATTATGGCTCACTTATGGGTAACCATATGCGGTGCTGGGTCCTTGTTGGGAGGAAGATGAACCTGAGAACTGGCCACTAGAAGACCCAAATCCTGGTTGGCCGGAACCGGTTCCAAAACCTGACTGGCCAGATCCCGAGAATTGTCCTGAACCAGAGCCTGGCCGGCCACCAGAAGCTGCAGCGGCGGCATCCTCCTGACGAGCCTTCTCGATCTGGGCGATGGCGTGCGGGGGGAGGGGAGGGGGAGTGGGCAGAAGGTCGGACTCCACGCGGAAACCGTTTTCATCAGCAACGAAGCTGAAGTCAGCTGGAGTGCCATCAGGGAAGGTGAATCTGAAATGAGCAAACAGATTGAATTTCCGTCTAAAGAAAAGAATATGGTTTAGTCATGATCTTACCAAATGCAACTGTTATACTTACGACCAAGCACCCTGCTGTGCTACGGCTCCAGTTTCTCCTTGTGGGGCTCCTTGTTCCTCACGAATGATGCCGTTTGCAGTTTCGAAGTTGAAGTTGTAGTTTCCGAACTCATCGGGACCTTGGCGTTCGTCGGTAATGATGGGAATGAAAGGACCTGAAGCTCCAGCTCCAGAACCACCAGCACCGAAGCTTCCCGAGGAACCACCGAATCCTCCAGTAGCTCCACCACCAAATCCTCCGGTAGCTCCACCTCCGAATCCTCCACTGCTTGAACCAGGAGCTCCACCTCCGAATCCTCCACTGCTTGAACCAGGAGCTCCACCTCCGAATCCTCCACTGCTTGAACCAGGAGCTCCACCTCCGAATCCTCCACTGCCTCCAGCTCCACTTCCAGGTCCACCTCCTACTCCACCGAAGCCGCCGGATGAACCTCCACTGGGAAGTCCATAGGATCTAGACGGTGATCCTTGAGGTAGTGATGCCACAGCGGCCACCACAGCGCATATCACAACTTTCTGAACATGTAAAAGGGAAAATCAAATCAGATTACATATGCATGTGGTTAGGATTATATTAATATTGCAGTCATGCTAGGCACTGGAAAGTTTCATTAGATTTAGTGAAAGATTTTACCGATAACATGATGCTCTCACACTGGAGTCGGAGTTACTGATGATAAGTGTCTAGCCAAGCTGCTTTTATACTCAGTCTCTGGCATCTCCATTCATCTTTCTTGGCATGATCTTCACGACATACTGTCAAGGGCAAGGAATGTCTAGCTTTCTGCTTGAATAAACGACATACATTATGTGTATACATAATATGTGCAGAATATAAATATATATGCATATACATATATATGATTTATATACATATATATGATATATATACACATATATGTAAATGCCCAATAGATATATTTACATGAGTGTATATATCTATCTACATATATATGTGTATATATATGTATGAATATATAATTAGATAAATGTAGTTAGTAGCTATTTTAGACACTGATAGATATATTATCGTTTCCAGCCCCACATCACCATTATTTCTGGTTGCAAAGCGTTAGTTTCCAAATATAAAATGTTTATTTAGAGCTGAACAAAGCTTCTAATATGTGAACGATAGACGTACTGTGGTAAATTTATATATATTATTCGACTAATAATATGAAAATGAATAGGGTAATGATCCTAGCGTTATCATCTGCAATGGGTAAATGCACACACACACACACACAGATATATGCAAATTTAAGCTTATATACATATCCATATATGTTTACATACATACACTCAGTCAGATATGCGAAGACACCAAGTTGGGAATGATAAAGAAAAAATAATCTCCGTAGAAATAATGATTAACGATTAGTGTACAGGATATTGCGGTGATATAAGAAATCGACACGAAGGATGAGATGCTGGCTTTTGAAATATATCAATTCTCGATAATAAACTTATCTGATCTCCCGACACCATAAGAGCAATTGGGTTTGGGTGTATATAGAGGATTACATGAATGATCTATTCGTTTATTTGCTTATTTCTGTATACAATTTATTCTCGGATGAGTCGCCTCTTGCGGGATTTTGTTATGCCAGTCACTCATCAAAAGTGGATAATGTATTGGTCATTCGGAAAAGACAATTCACAGTCTGGACTTGTGTTACTTTCCTATGAAACCACTTAAGGAATAATGAATGGACGAACATTTTAACAAATTTTATAACCTGATTCATAACCATCCGATACAGTAAATATGAATATAGTATAAAAAAAAAAAAATAAATAAATAAAAGCATTCTCCCTGGCAATGTCATTTCTACTAATAATTGATTCTATTTTAGGCTAATTTCAAGATAGCAATAGTCTGACATAAAATAATTTATCCGTGCATATATTCCACAGATATAGAATATCGGTAAATCTAAATTACAAAATTTTCCTGGTTATGTGCAGATCACAAAGTCATTAACGGTCATTGCCTGGGCATACGCATAGTTTTTTTTTTTATTACTCACATTATATCACACGTTATCACCTGGCTTCTTTAGCATCTTCAACGCTCAGAAAGTACAAATTAGTTCAGACTATCTAGAAATATATCTTGCAGCCGTATTTCAAAGTTAAAGGCAAAAGCATTACTTACCTACATCCTTTCTCTTCCTCTCCCTTTCTTTTTCCTTTTATATATATACGCATATATATGTATATGTATAAATGTGAATGCATATATGCATACACACATATAATGTATGTTTGTATGTACACACACACACACACACACACACACACACACACACACATATATATATATATATATATATATATATATATATATATATATATACATGTTTATAAATAAATATACATATAGTATATGTATATGTATACACACATACACATACATATATGTATATTTATATACACACAAATATATAGATGTGCACACATTTATATAGATACATATACATACATATAAATACATACATACATATATATGCACATGTACATGTACACAAATATCTATATCTCTATATCTATAAATGTCTATATATGTATGTATGTATATAAGAAAGATGGAATAATGAAATGCCGCATTGATACTGATATGGGTCGTGCGGCATGGTTGCTTTAGGTTCGAGTCCTGGTCAGGGAGGGTTGTTATTTATATGTAAGTACAATATATATATACATAAAAAGATAAATATATATACACATTTATACGTGTATGTATATATACACACGCGTTTCTGTCTGCTTTCATATGTTTGTAAATGTCATTTTGTATGTGTGGACATTATTTTTTTACTATAATTAATATTATTACTATAGTGTTTTAATGCATATGTTTTTTTTTTTTTTTTTATCACGGAGAAAGAAAGTAAATACACAGGTACATATTTAATATAACCACGTATCTGCAAAACTACTAAGCGTCATGTTTATATCTTAACTTTAATAATAACAGGTGATTAGGATGAAAGCTGATGCAAGAGATCATGGTATCGCTGGATCAGTAAATGGCAGCAAAATTTATGTTGCATGAATATGGTGGTTCAGTTTAGGGGTAACCATAGGCGGTGCTGGGTCCTTGTTGGGAGGAAGATGAACCTGAGAACTGGCCACTAGAAGAACCAAATCCTGGTTGGCCAGCACCGGTACCAAAGCCTGATTGGCCAGATCCCGAAAACTGTCCTGAACCAAAGCCTGATTGGCCGGCGCCAAAGCCTGAGCCAGAGAACTGTCCAGAGCCAGAGCCTGGCCGGCCACCAGATGCTGCAGCGGCGGCATCCTCCTGACGAGCCTTCTCGATCTGGGCGATGGCGTGCGGGGGGAGGGGAGGGGGAGTGGGCAGAAGGTCGGACTCCACGCGGAAACCGTTTTCATCAGCAACGAAGCTGAAGTCAGCTGGAGTGCCATCAGGGAAGGTGAATCTGAAATGAGGAAACATTGAATTTCCGTCTAAAGAAAAGAATATGGTTTAGTCATGATCTTACCAAATGCAACTGTTATACTTACGACCAAGCACCCTGCTGTGCTACGGCTCCAGTTTCTCCTTGTGGGGCTCCTTGTTCCTCACGAATGATGCCGTTTGCAGTTTCGAAGTTGAAGTTGTAGTTTCCGAACTCATCGGGACCTTGGCGTTCGTCGGTAATGATGGGAATGAAAGGACCTGAAGCTCCAGCTCCAGAACCACCAGCACCGAATCCTCCCGAGGAACCTCCGAATCCTCCAGTGGCTCCACCACCAAATCCTCCGGTGGCTCCACTGCCGAAGCCGCCACTGCCTGACCCAGGAGCTCCACCTCCGAATCCTCCACTGCCTGACCCAGGAGCTCCACCTCCGAATCCTCCACTGCCCGAACCAGGAGCTCCACCTCCGAATCCTCCACTGCCTCCAGCTCCACTTCCAGGTCCACCTACTCCACCGAAACCGCCGGATGAGCTTCCACTGGGAAGTCCATAGGATCTAGACGGTGATCCTTGAGGTAGTGATGTCACTGCGACCACCACAGCGCATATCACGAGTTTCTGAAGATGGGAAGGAGAAAAATCATTACTTATATTCATTTTTCTTTGCGTGCATGTGTAAAATTATTCACTTGCATTAGTGTTTCTATTCATATGTTTATACACAGAAACACACATACATATATGTCTGTGTGTTTGTATGAATGTATATGTATACATATGTGTATATACATGTATGTATACACACACACACGTATGCATACAGGTGCATATATTTATACATATATATATGCATGTGTGTATATGTATGCAAATATGTACACACGCATATATACACATATGCATTTCATATGTGTGTATGTGTGAAATAATTCAAATAGATTTAAAGTCAGTGTTAGTGCATCCCCTTTATCTGCTGTATGAAACTATCTATTGATTTACCTATATGGCTGTCCATTCATCTATTTATCTATCTATCTGCCAATGTATCTCTATATGTATGTGTATGTATATATATATATATATATATATATATATATATATACATATATATATATTTATGTAAACACATATATATGTGTATATATATATTCATACATACAGTATATATCTATATTATATATAGAGATATCCAAAAACAAATTGACAGATAGACAGATGGCTAAACGAATGGACAGGTAGATCAACAGATCAAAAGTAGATAATGGATATGCTGACATTGACTATAAATCTAAATAATATATATGTATAATACACACATACACACCTTGTATAGATATATATATGCATGTATGTATGTATATACACCTATGTGTCTGTATGTTTATTTTATATATTCATATACATGTGTATATATATGCATACATACATATGTGTATATATATATATGTATGTATAAATACATATTTATTCATATCCATATATATATATATACATACATACACATGCGTATATACACGTTTCGCTATATATATTTTCTTTTAAAAAAGTTTGAACTTTACCGCAAACATGTTTATCCGATGAAGCGGTCGGACTGACTGATGCTCATGCTGGAACCGGACTCTTATATACTCAACTCTGGCATTTCTCTTCCATTCCCGGGACATGCATTCGGACACACGCACGTACACACGATGGATAATGTCATACTGGCCCAGATGAGATTCTCCCGATTAGCTCATCAATACACAAGGTCTGTTTTCATGCCCTGCTATTTTCCTGGCTGTCATGATCTCTTTCTAAATTCCTTTACACTCTGATCTTGCTTTTGTTCCCAAAATAATTACATTTCACTCTGTCCAATCTGCCTCTCTCTCTTTCGGTTTCCCTCTCTCTCTCTTTGTTTCTCCCTCTCTCACATTCCACTCAGTACCATCTCTTTCCGTTTCCCTCTTTCTCTTACTCCCCCTCTTTCTCCTTTTTTTCGGTTACTTCCCCTTCTCTCTCTGTCTCTCTATGTATATATATATATATATATATATATATATATATATATATATATATATGTCTATACGTGTATGTATGTGTGTGTGTGTGTGTGTATATATACACATACATATATGTATATATGTACGTATATACGTATATATATGTATATATATGTACATATATCCGTATATACATATGTATAATAATATATATATTATATATATATGTATAGGCGTGTGTGTGTGTGTATGTGTAAGCATGTGTGTATGCGTTTGAGTGTATGTTCATATATCACTCTGGAAAAAAAACCTGGCAACTCACCCTGAACTCCGAGTAGGTAAACCTCTTTGGAGAAAAGAAAAAGTAAAATCAAGTGGCCGAAAGCCTTATCATTCCTCCTTACATGCGTAAATATAAGTATTCAAGTTTTCTTTTCTGAGACAGGAAGCACTATAGCCAAGACTCGAAGACTCTTCTGCATCTCCTTCAGCCATCACTAAAGGCTGAATTTTCTGAACGAGAGCCTCACTGTAACCACCACACCCAACAGGAACATCAGCGGTATTATCGTCTTCAGGAAAATGTACTTACAATAATTTGTTAAGCTTATCTTTACAGGTATCCCACAGAATATATATACATATATATACATACAGTATATGTTGACCCACATTTCATTCCCCTCATCGCCAGTGGATAGTAACGCTGGCAATTCCTTGCACGCAGGGGGTATTTTAGAAGCAAAACGAAACAGACAGCCTGTTACATCAAAGATAACTATTGTACAAATGGAATAAAACTGAATTTATTATTCATATACTATATTTGTTAGTATATACATACGTCCACATATACACGCATACGTGTACATAGATATGTGTGTGTACCATTCATATACGTATATATATGTATATACATATAGACGCACATATATACATATGCATACACATATGAGTGGTATATATATAAAAACATATGTATGTATCTGTTTATGGAAATATATAATGTATATATATTATCACATATCTATGTATTAGTGTTTGTAACTTATATATATATATATATATATATATATATATATATATATATATATATATACATATATACATATCTATAAATAAAATAGATTTCCCCTATTGATTATTAGCTATTATCCTTTTTAAGGATCCAACATATCCAAGAATGTCGGATTTGTCTGGTTCCCTCATTTTGCCTTTGTATGGTCGTGTGCATAAGAACGTGCATCTGAAAATGTTTCATTGGTCGCCATAATTATTTCGCCCCATCGACTAGCACCGGTACCAAAGTCGTCATAATTTTCATCAATAAAAAGGGAGTAGATGATATATGAATACAAATTTAATGTAAACATTCATCTTCACTCGAAAGCTTCATTATTATATTTCATCTCCAATACTGAAGGCTGAAAGGTAATACGATATCGATGGGTCACAAGCGGCAACAGATATTAAGTCGCATTATCATTATGGTTCAGTTTAGTAGTAACCATAGGCAGTGCTGGGTCTTTGTTATGAGGATGCTGATCTTGAGAATTAGCCACTAGAAGACCCAAATCCTGGTTGGCCAGCACCGATACCAAAACCTGATTGACCAGATCCCGAGAACTGTCCTGAACCAAAGCCTAACTGGCCGGCACCAAAGCCTGAGAACTGTCCAGAGTAAATGTCACACTTACGACCAAGAACCCTGCTGTGCTACGGCTCCAGTTTCTCCTTGTGGGGCTCCTTGTTCCTCACGAATATTGCCGTTTGCAGTTTCGAAGTTGAAGTTATAATTTCCGAACTCATCGGGACCTTGGCGTTCGTCGGTAATGATGGGAATGAAACGACCTGAAGCTCCAGCTCCAGCATCACCAACACCGAAGCGTAGAAGGTGAACCTTGAGATGAACCTTGAGGCAGTGATACCACAGCGGCCACCACACAGCATATAACAACTTTTGAACCTACAAAGGGGAAATTCATATCCGATTGTTTAGCTTTCTTGCTTGAATAAACGACATTATAGATATATAGTGTGTATACATGTGTATAAGATATATATGCATATATTTGTGTGTGCATGGGCGTGTTTGCACATTTACAAATATATGTAAAAATATACATACATGAGTGTATATATGTAGATGTGTGTATATGTATATGTATAGATGTGTGTCATTTATGTGAACATATAGTGAGATGTAGTTTGTAATTACTGAAGCCAAATGAAAAAAATGTGGCTTGATAAGTGAATAGCTTGACAAAATCCCGAAAGACGTTATTCATCATAGAATAATGTTTGTCCCAGCTTGAACATTTTCTTCAGCTCTAAAAAAGAATTTTCATTAATAAAATAAAAGTTCCATAAACTGAAATAATGCAATGTGATGTCAAAGTAAATAATGACACATTATTGTGGTCCTGGAAAATTAGGAAATACCAATCAGTAATTACAATAGTGAGATGTAGTTTGTAATTACTGAAGCCAAATGAAAAAAATGTGGCTTGATAAGTGAATAGCTTGACAAAATCCCGAAAGACGTTATTCATCATAGAATAAATCGTGTTCATGTTGCAAACATTTATGTCATCACATTCTGCATATTCATACCATTAATCGAATAATTTGAATACTGTTACGACAGTAGGTTTATCACTCATAGTTCAGGAGTTTTGTCCAGCTTGAACATTTTCTTCAGCTCTAAAAAGAATTTTCATTTAATAAAATAAAAGTTCCATAAACTGAAATAATGGCAATGGTGATGTCAAAGTAAATAATGACACATTATTGTGGTCCTGGAAAATTAGGAAATACCAATCAGTAATTACAAACCACTATATATATACACATACACAGATGTATATATGTAAATACATATGTATATGTATACATATGTATGTGTATTTCTGTGTGTATAGACAGCAAACTATTTATGTATAGATTATTACCATTTTTGTTTCGTCTAATCTATTACAATATTATATTACATTTTTATCATGGAGAGAAAAGTTCAATTCACAGGTACATTTTTAATATAACCACGTATCTACAATACTAGAAAGCGTCATGTTTATATTATAATTATAATAATAACAGGTGATAAGGATGAAGGCTAATGCAAGAGATCATGATATCGCTGGATCAGAAGATGGCAGCAAAGTTTATGTTGCATAAATATGGTGGTTCAGTTTAGGGGTAACCATAGGCAGTGCTGGGTCCTTGTGAGAATGTTGATCCTGAAAACTGGCCACTAGAACCAAATCCTGGTTGGCCAGTACCGGTACCAAAGCCTGATTGGCCAGATCCCGAAAACTGTCCTGAACCAAAGCCTGATTGGCCAGATCCCGAGAACTGTCCAGAGCCAGAGCCTGGCCGGCCACCAGAAGCTGCAGCGGCGGCATCCTCCTGACGAGCCTTCTCAATCTGGGCGATGGCGTGCGGGGGGAGGGGAGGGGGAGTGGGCAGAAGGTCGGACTCCACGCGGAAACCGTTTTCATCAGCAACGAAGCTGAAGTCAGCTGGAGTGCCATCAGGGAAGGTGAATCTGAAATGAGGAAACATTGAATTTCCGTCTAAAGAAAAGAATATGGTTTAGTCATGATCTTACCAAATGCAACTGTTATACTTACGACCAAGCACCCTGCTGTGCTACGGCTCCAGTTTCTCCTTGTGGGGCTCCTTGTTCCTCACGAATGATGCCGTTTGCAGTTTCGAAGTTGAAGTTGTAGTTTCCGAACTCATCGGGACCTTGGCGTTCGTCGGTAATGATGGGAATGAAAGGACCTGAAGCTCCACCTCCAGAACCACCAGCACCGAAGCCTCCCGAGGAACCGCCGAATCCTCCAGTGGCTCCACCGCCAGGAGCTCCACTCCCAAATCCTCCGGTGGCTCCACTACCGAAACCACCACTACTGGAACCAGGAGCTCCACCTCCGAATCCTCCACTGCCTCCAGCTCCACTTCCAGGTCCACCTACTCCACCGAAACTTCCAGATGAACCTCCACTGGGAAATCCATAGGATCTAGACGGTGAACCTTGAGGCAGTGATGCTACAGCGGCCACCACAGTGCATATCACTAATTTCTGGTACGGGAAAGAAATTCAAATTTAGATTTGTGTGTATGTGAGTGAATGTTAGAATCACTGAAGTGTTTCATTGGATTTAAACCAGAAAACTTTACCGATAACATGATGTTCGGACGGAATCTTCGTGAGTGAGGATAAGTGTCAAGACCAGCCGCTTATATACCCGGACCCGGCTGTTCCATTCTTCCTCGGTGGCACGCTAGGTCACGTGTTGCAAAATTAATACTTGAGCACTATTCTACATAAATTGAATATTAATTTGTATGCGTACCGGTCACACACACATACACACACACATATATGTGTGTGTGCATGTATGATAAATTTGTTTATATATATATACACATACATACATTTATGAAAATATAATGGACGCACGCACACATATTTATAAGTATATACTTATATGTATATATACATATATACATCTATATATACATGTACATTTATATGGATATATATCATATTCCCATATATCTATATATGTATATGTAGATATGTTAACATATATATATGTGTGTGTGTGTGTAAATATATATACACATATAAACATATAAACATGCATATATATATATATATATATATATATATATATATATATATATATATATATTTATACATTTATTTATGAATATGTATATATATATGTATATATATATTCATACATTTATTTATGAATATATATATGCATATATGAATATATATATGTTGAAATGTATATATAGATATATACACACATATAAATATGTGTATATATGCGTATGCATATGTATACAAATTTGTATGCATAATGTATATATATACATTATGCATACAATGTATATATGTACATACATTGGTACACACACATATGCATATATGTATATTATATCTATATATATGTGTGTATATATATTTACACACACACAGACACACACACATATATATATATACATATACATATATATTTATATATATGAATATATATATACATAATGTTTGTGTCTGTATGTACGTGTATATATATACGCACATACATATATGCATACATATATATATATATATATATATATATATATATATATATATATATATATTTCATGCATATACATACATACGCATTGTATATACTTATACATGTATGTCTGTATTGATGTACATCTATACACGCACACACACATATATATACATACATATATATCACACACACACATATATGACTATTGCGATGGTTCAATGGTTAGAGCACTCAGCTCTGACTCTCGTGGTCCAGGATTCAAATCCCCGCTGCGCCAGTTCCAAAAGGCCTGCGCTCCATCTCCGATCTCACGCGAGGAAACTCATCGTCGTGAGAGGTCAAATGTAGCTGTTTTGAGTGAGTACGCCACCGGAGGTCAAGATATGGTTAGATCGCGGTTGATTTAGAAGGGCACCTAATCTGGCTTGGGTGGCAACTCCAAACATCCTCTTAATAATGAATTCAGAGTGGTCTAAGTCATGCGATAGAAGGAATGGTCGATGAATAATAATAATAATTATTATTATTACTAATATTATTATTATTATATGTATACATACATATATATAAGTATATATATATATGTGTGTGTGTGTGTGTGTGTGTGTGTTAGTGTGTGTGTGTGCGTGTGTGTGTGTGTGCATATATATGTGTAAACACACGGACACACGCATATATATGTAGGGATATATATATGTATATATGTATATATGTGTGTTTGTGTGTGCATATATATATGCACACACACACACACACGCACACACACACAGTAACACACACACACACACACACACACACACACACACACACATATATATATATACTTATATATGTGTATGTATATATATAATAATAATATTAGTAATAATAATAACGCATACGCATACGCACACACACATATATTTGTAGGGATGTATATGTATATGTATATACAGGGCCGTCGGGAAGGCAGGGGGGTGTAATGCTTCAAATTTGCCGACAAAGGGCGTGGTCATTGGGCGTTGGGCATTGGTGACGTTATTAGTCACACAATAACTCTATGTTCTGTGAACCATTCGTAGAGAGCGCCGACTAATTAGCAGCAGAAATTGTCAAAATTTACCAATTGCAGGTTTAAGGTTTCATTTGCCGACAGATGCTTTTTTCGGCCCTGTATATATATATACATATATATGTGTGTGTGTGGTGTGTGTGTATGTGTGTGTGTGTGTGTGTATGTGTGTGTGCATGTCTGTGTGTATGTATATACACATATTTATGTATATATGTATATATATATATATATATGTATATATATGTATATATATATATATATATATATATATATATATATATATATATATATATATTCATGCATATGTATATACACATGAATATATATTAATAAACACACACACACACACACACAAATATATATGTGTATGTGTGTGTGTGAATATACATATATAGTATATTGTATGTTACTGCAAAATAAAAAATCCATAAAAGATATATTGCATCACCATATCCGAAAATATTAGGTTTCCTAATTAAAGCGTTCATTGAAGTGGTTTCCACTCAAGTTTTTTTGTCTTAATATCCTCATTCCTATAAATCTCTCTTCCTCTCTCTCTATAAACACGCACACATTTATATGAGTGTATGTATATATATATATATATATATATATATATATATATATATATATATTCGTATGTATGTTTGTGTATACATGTATATATATATATGCATATATATATATATATATATATATATATATATATATATATGTGTGTGTGTGTGTGTGTGTGTGTGTGTGTGTGTGTGCATAAAGCTAAACAATAGATGAATATAGGTGTATTTCGTACATGTACATGTTGCTTTCATTTTATTGAACTAACCTTTAAAATCAATTATAGAAATTTAACGAAATCTCGCATTCAAGGATAAGTCACGTCATTTGGGATTTTAAGTCAATCTTGCATCAAAACAAACGTGCCTTTATCCTGTTTTCATATATTCATTTTGTTTATTATTATTCTGTTTACATTTCATAACTCCTAGCTTCTGAAATCATTGGTAAGGCCAAACACTTTCACAAACTTATGTCTTAAAAGCATAGCTCAGTAATATAACATAGAGTACAGGAACATCAGTTATTTAATGTTTTATCATTATTGGGCATCATTTCCTGGTTTTCATCAACCATAAAGGTTAATGGCGTCAGCCTACAAATCCTAATCAGAATAAAAAAAACATCATAGTAGGTAATATCTGTCGTCTGACGTGGGATTAAGATATTTTATTAAATCTGCTCCATTTTTTAATCTGGTTGGTTTTTCGGAAAGCGGCAATTTACTGGATGAGACTGCGATCGACGAGACCAAGTACGAAATCCATTCAGCTTGAACCAGAAGATTGAATCAGAGCAGACAGGTTTCTTGCGATTTTCTAGTAATTCGAATTGGTTTGATAAGAATTATATGTTCCCAAAATAGAAGTATTGACAAAGAGATTAGAAACGTTTTTATGGAAACTATGTAGAAATACTTATTGGAATCTAATTGGAAACATTTTGTCTTTACGTATGAATTAAACTACAACAAGATCTGGTTGAATTGAAAATATTCTATGCTACCTCTGAAAAGCAACTCCTACATTTACAGGCACATACTTAATTTGCAGCAGCGATATCATGTCCAAGTTGGACATTTTCACCTGCTGTTATGACGTTTTAAATATTCGAGCATTGCAAAGTAGCTCAAACGAGATAGAACCATACTAATGATCATGATACATACATACATATACAGTATATTCAAATATATATATTTGCTGTACATATATTTATACCTTGTAAGGTATCAGAAGTATATAAAGAAATTAATATTCATGTTTATTTGTGTCTGTGCAAACACACACACATACACAAACACACATGTATATATATTTTAGTATTTGGCTATATATATATATATATATATATATATATATATATTGTGTATATACATGTGTATATATCCATTTATGTATATTATATTATATACTCTATAGCAAGAAAAGGTGCAATAGAGTAATTCGCTTTCCTGTGTGTTTGTAAATGTCATTCTGTATGTGTTGACATTTTTTTTTTATTGTAATTATTATTATTATTACCCTAGCAATATATGTATATTTTTTATCACGGAGAAAGAAAGCAAATGTACTGGTACACATTTAATATAACCACGTATCTACAATACTAGTAAGCGTCATGTTTATATCTTAACTATAATAATAACAGGTGAATAGGATGAAGGCTGATGCAAGAGATCATGATATCGTTGGATCAGAAAATGAGAGCAAAATTTATGGTGCATAAATATGGTGGTTCAGTTTAGGGGTAACCATAGGCAGTGCTGGGTCCTTGTTGTGAGGATGTTGATCCTGAAAACTGGCCACTAGAACCAAATCCTGGTTGGCCAGTACCGGTGCCAAAACCTGATTGGCCAGATCCTGAAAACTGTCCTGAACCAAAGCCTGATTGGCTAGATCCCGAGAACTGTCCAGAGCCAGAGCCTGGCCGGCCACCAGATGCTGCAGCGGCGGCATCCTCCTGACGAGCCTTCTCGATCTGGGCGATGGCGTGCGGGGGGAGGGGAGGGGGAGTGGGCAGAAGGTCGGACTCCACGCGGAAACCGTTTTCGTCAGCAACGAATCTGAAGTCAGCTGGAGTGCCATCAGGGAAGGTGAATCTGAAATGAGCAAACAGATTGAATTTCCGTCTAAAGAAAAGAATATGGTTTAGTCATAATCTTACCAAAAGCAAATGTCACTTACGACCAAGAACCCTGCTGTGCTACGGCTCCAGTTTCTCCTTGTGGAGCTCCTTGTTCCTCACGAATGATGCCGTTTGCAGTTTCGAAGTTGAAGTTGTAGTTTCCGAACTCATCGGGACCTTGGCGTTCGTCGGTAATGATGGGAATGAAAGGACCTGAAGCTCCAGCTCCAGAACCACCAGAACCGAAGCCTCCCGAGGAACCTCCGAATCCTCCAGTGGCTCCACCACCAAATCCTCCGGTGGCTCCACTGCCGAAGCCGCCACTACTTGAACCAGGAGCTCCACCCCCAAATCCTCCACTGCCTGAC